CACAAAATACTAGATGGAGTAGTTTTTGTTTTGCGGGGTGTGTTCATTTTTGCATCAACTAATTTGAGTAAAACTGATGGTTTTGTAATCTAAGTTATATTATTAACCTTACTTGCATGTAATGAGTAAAAAAAATGTGCTATAAAACTCAGTTTTGTAAACATTTTGGAAGTTTTTCTTGTGTTCATCGAGATATTGATTAAAATCTTACTTTTCAAAAGGGTTGAACTCATTTAGGCTGAGCACCATATATAAAGTAAATATACCCAGAAATAGGATATACTGGGCATTTGAACTGGGAGTCAGACGTGAAGCTATATGAAGGGTGAAAGAAGATATACAGTACACCTTTTTATATTAAAGTAGTACTAAAGGCTGAGACTTTTTTCATGGATATATTATTTTTAAATATAATGCACAATACTGGAAAACATTTACTTTATATTTAATTGTAATGCCTTATATTACCCCCCCCCCCCCACTTCCTATCCGTGCTGTCACATCACACTGGGGATCTTCTCCACGGATCTCCTGCCAGAATTAAAAAAAAGACGTAGCCATGCGGGGCTCCGTCTGCCTGGCCGCATCACTTATTTCCCACTTGCCCTCCTGAGGACTTACCCCCCTTCCTGATCAGGCCATTTTTTGCGTTACGGCGCTCCGTTACTTTAACTGACAATTGCCCGGTAATGCAACACTGCACCCAAATTACATTTACATTCTTTTTTTTCCCACAAATCAAGCTTTCTTTTGGGGGTATTTGATCACCTGTTTGTTTTTTTTTTTTAGCGCAAAAAAAAAAAGACCAATTTTGAGAAAAAAACAATAGTTTTTTACTTTTTGCTATTAAACATGTCCAGTAAAAAATTTTAAAAATCAAATTTCATCATAAATTTATGCCAAAATGTATTCTGCTACATGTTTTTTGCTAAAAAAAATCCCACTACATGTAAATTAATTGGTTTACGTGAAAGTTATAGCATTTACAAAAGGCTATACATATGGTATACTGGGATTTTTTTTTTTAAAGTTTATTTTTACTAGTAATGGCGGTGATCAGCGACTTATAGCGGGACTGCGGTGGACATTCTGACACTGGGGGGGGGGGGGGGACTGTCTTGGTGTCACTGACATCCCCAGTGACACCAATACAGTGATCAGTGCTAACAAAAAGCACTGACACTGTACTAAGGCACTGGGCACAAAGCGGTTAACATGAGGGTCAATCAAAGGGTTAACTGTGTGCAGGGAGTGTTTTACTAGGGGGCGGTGTGTTGGTGCTTCACAGTACTCACACAATACAGCCATCCAAAGCAGTGTGCCCGAGCTGACAGGGAGAAGAACTGTTAGTAAACAAAACAGTTCTCCTCCCCACCAGAGATCCTCAGAAATCACTGGACGCCGGCAAGTAATCACTGGTAAGGACCTGGTGATTGACAGCCGCGCCCACAAATGGCGGCATGGGTAGGACATACGTGGCACGCACACGCCCCCTACCTGGAAATGCAAAATCACGTATATATACTTGACTTTGCGCACCTATGCTGACCTGTAGCAGTATTTATGCTATAGGGCAGTCGGGAAGCGGTTACCAGTCTTCTGTGAATGGCAAACTACAACTATCGTCAGTGTTTGTGGCTGTCAGGTTGTAGTTCTCAATGAACTACCATGGTGCTTGTAGGAGCTACAAGCAGACCGCTTACACAGAGTCTGCAAGAGCCCTGCATAGCAGCCACGATCTGCTGATCATGGGTGCAATGCTTTACAGGCTCCCAATGAAAAAATAGTAAATGCACATTTTTTTACCTGAAAAAAAGATGTGCATTTATAAGTTTTTTTGAAAAGGTGAACTTATCCTTTTAAAGTGTTACTAAACCCAGCACCCCCAGCACCCTCCATTCACTATACCTGGTCTCCCACAATACACAGAACATGGAAATGCAATTATTTTAGTAAATATAAACTACTAATGACCTTTTTGTCATCCGCAGTATAGAGCAGTCTTGCGACTTCTATCAATGTCTAGCTGAGCACTGGCTAATCTTTTAGGAGGAATTTTTATTCTGCTCTGAGTGTTCTATGAGGCTGCATGACCCCTGACCCTCTGTGTGGACAATGCTGATTGGCCCTGTGCTGATCAAATGCACCCTCAAAAAAAGGAAAAAAAACTCTCTAACAATACACAAATACACACCAAATTGAGCATGTGCAGAGTGACTCCTAGAGCTCTCTACTATCAGCAGATTGATGGGGGACAGTAGAAGAAGGGGAAGATCAGAGAAGACAGGATCAGTCATTTTACATAATGCAAATGATTAACCCCTTAGGTTCCACAGTGAGTATAACAAGCATGCTTTACTGCATATACAGACTGATTATACTGTTGTGGATTTAGTAACACTTTAAACCTGGTTTGTAAGGGGGAAAATGCAGTATAGTTTGTACAGCTCAAAGCCTAAGGTATGTTGTTGGCTATTGTTGAGCCTGTAATTGGTGAAACTGTAGTAGGTTTTAATGGAAGTGGACTACTGACTATCATTTTCTTACGATCTGTTGTTTTTACTTTATATTCTTATAATCCGATTTTATGATCTGAATGTTTTCGTGTGTGTACCAAATAAATATAACCACATTTATTTTTACAAATTAAATGTCTATTTTTATGTGTGCACTGTATTACTATATTGTATTGCTGTTTCTGATCAATGTTTGGATTATATGTAATTTTTTTTATAAATATCCTGGTAAACATTGTTGTATTTTATGTGTGCTTTTGGACTTGAATATTGGAAGTATCTCTTTTGTTAAAGGATTATTTCAGCATTTTTTTATGCTTTTGTTTATTGTAAATTAAAAAAAAAAAAATAAAGTTTCATTCTTCACATGACTATAGTCTTTGGTATATAGTGGTTGTGGAAATCTGCATGACTTGATACATAGAATTTACTGTTCAACAAGATTGTGGTAAGCTTTGAATTCTTCATTGTAAAGTAATGGTCACATTTATAAATAATGGACAATCATGTTAATTTCCACATAGAATGTCAATTACTTTTAGCCTTCTATTAATCTGAATAATGTTGAAGTTTGTAAACTTACTTTATGAAGATCCCACGCATTGACTTCCTTTAATTCTGTGACACATATTCACTATACACTGTATTTAGGCACGGCTGTGTCACACATTTCACAGAACCTGCCTTCTGAACTACAGAGGTGCTGAGAGAAGATTCAGGAGGCGGAGTCAGTACAGGAATCACTGCTTGCAGGCAGCAAAGTTCCATGGGATATGTAGTCCTTAGAAATGGAAAGTAAACAGCCGGATTAGATGCAAAGCATGCAGGGAATCCAGGAAGTTCTGGGAAGAGATGCCCAGCAGATTTTGCAAGTACGCTTATACTAGATTGTCAAAAATAACTATTGCTAATGTTTTTATTACAATGCTGTTATAAAATGAAAGTGTATGTTGTGCCTACAAAACTTCTTTAATATGGAAAGCTAGGTAAAAGTACATTTTTCCAAGTAGCACAACATACTTGGTCATTTACTGGCAATTTGTTGAGTGAAAAAAACACTGTACGTTATAAAAAAAATACTGTGTTCTGTAGGGTCCTCCACCACTGCAAGTTATCATCATCTTCATCACAGCAGCTCTAGACATTGATCCTAATTTCTCTTATTTTACTGTTGTGCTACATTATATAGCTTACTGCCATTGCCTGACCTGTTGGCAGTATTGTGGACCTGATTGCACAAAGAAAAGTCCAGAGGGCAATTTATAGTAACAGTAATGTTAGTGTGAAATTTATGAACAGTATAATATATTGTGGGGATCCAGTATCCTCCATCAGAGCGAACTGCATTGAGTTTACAGAAACAGCTTTCTTAAAGAAGAGCTCTGGGATAACATGATTTGCTATAAGCAATCAAATTGTATTAGAAAAAAAAAAAACACTGATCACTTCCCCAAGGTAGTACAATGTTAATATGGTAACATTATACTACTTTGGTCATAGTGCAATGTGAAAAAAAAATCTTAAAAAAGAAAAAAAATTTTATAAAAAATTATTGAAAAAAATAGAAAAAAATTATCAATTTTTTTCTTTCGTACTGTCACCAGTCAGTGTCCCTGATCACCACCACACCAGTTATGTGATGACGCTGTACTGCACTGGTGACAGTAATAATTTTTTTTAATTCTTCATTTTCCAAAAAATTATGACAAAAAATTATAACTTCAAAAAACTCGCCATGCCTGTTATGAAATATGTCGGACTGTCTACTTTGCAAAAAGGGGTCATTTGGGGGATATCTGTACTGTTCTGACTTTTCTGGGCCTCAAGAAATTAGATTGGCTGTTAGTACTTCAGGATTGATCAATTTTCAGATATATCCCACAGTTTGTGACCTCTATAACTTTCCTACAGGCTAAATAATAAATACTGATTTGGGTTATTTCCACCAAAGAAATGTAGCAGAATACATCTTGGCTTAAATTTATGAAGAACAATTATTTATTTGCAAAATTTTATAACAGAAACAAATAAACATGTTTTTTTTTTTTTAAAAATGTTCAGTCTTTTTTTTGTTAATTTAGTAAAAAATAAAAACCCCAGTGGTGATTAAACACCACCAAAAGAAAGCTCTAGTTGTGTGAACACAATGATGAAATGTTAGTTTGGGTACAGTGTTGCATGACCGCGCAGTTGTCATTCAAAGTGTGAGAACACTTAAACCTGAAAATTGGCCTGGGCAGGAAAGGGGTAAAAGTGCCCGTATTGAAGTGGTTAGTAAAGATACCTCCAGATGAATGTTCAGCAATGTCAAGTTGCAGGGGCTCCTGAAGATGATCACAATGTTGTGTCTGTCTTGGTGTCAGAGACCGACCTGAAAACAAGCTCTCTGATGATGTAGAGATCCTCCAGCTACTGTCCAACCAGTCTGGAACACAACTTTTCACAAGAAAAAACCATGGCGTGGCACTGGAATGCAGGCTCAACCCATCTACTTTGCATCTTAGCCCCTAGTAGCTGCTAATCTGTCTTGTGCAGGGACGGACTGACCATTTGGAAACTCGGGCACTGCCCGAGGGCCCGGGGTCAGTAGGGGGCCCCATGAGATGCCCCTGGTACCTTTTTCATAGGCTTTTTTGAGTTTGGGCAAGGACACAGGGGCCCCATGATCCCCTATTGCCCAGGAGCCCCATGAGTTGTCAGTCCGCCCCTGGTCTTGTGACAGGACTTCTAACTATCAAGTGGCTGTCAGATGCCTAACCTGTTTCTAGCCTATGTTGGTTATTGAACCCTGAGCTAAAACTAGCTATTAAATCCCAGACCAGAAGGGACAGGGCAACTAAAATAACAAGCGCTAGATATAAACTCTATTGCAATAAATAGGTTCAACTACTAACATACAGCAAGGTTTCTCAGGCTCTCTATTCTCACTTTATCCTTCTGGGGTTTCCTACCAGGGGCGGACTGACAACTCATGTGGCCCCCGGGCCATAGGGGATCATGGGACCCCTTTGTCCTTGCCCAAACTCAAAAACATCTGAAAAAGGTACCAGGGGCATTTCATGGGGCCCTCGACTGACCCTGGGCCCTCGGGCAGTGCCCGAGTTTTCCAAATGGTCAGTCCGCCCCTGTTTCCAACCCAACAACCCAAATACGGAAAGTGCTATATATAGGTAATTCTGTGAAAAGCAGCAAAGCTATTTACAAATGCTTTATACTGTAGAACACCTGGTATATTTTGGCATTGTCTGGTTGGATGAGGTGATGTTACTGCTCCTGCTCTCCACTTCATCCATTCAGAGAACGCCCTGTATTCATTGAAAAAATACAAGGCATTCCATGAATGGTGTGCAAAGAACCGGAAAGGATCATGGCTGTCACTGTAGGTATCTTGGGTAACTGCAGTTATTTACAGCATCCCAGTGGACCTCTGGGTATCAACTATGCATGCATACACCAAGCCAAGCTTACCCAATGTACTGTAAGTATGCAAAAAAATATATTTTGTGGAGTTCAGCTGTAAAACTAATAACAAATACAAAGACATGACACTTTGTGACTAGAGTGAGTGTTGCATGTCCCTGATGCTGCAGCTTATACCCTTGCTGCTTCTTTGTAAAGCACATCCTTCAAGATTCACTTCAATGTGCATGGAGATACATATATACAGAAAAATCAGCAAACCCTCCTATATTTGTCCACTTTCCTCTCCTTGACATCCCATCACTCGCCATCACACTGCTCCTTGCTGTGTCTGCAGCTGTGTCTGATAACAAGTGACAATGCTGTTACTGTGAAAGAAACACACACAAACACTGACCGCAAGTGACCAATAGAAAATGTACTATGATTGTGGTAAAAGGAGCTTTTATAGCACTGAGCATGAATAGCAACAGCACGTCAACACTAATAAATGCACTATGAATATGACAATCTTTGCTATGTTGTTTTATAGGGAACCTGGTATAATTTTGCTTGATTCGCTTAATTTGGCTGTGGACTGCTAAGGGGCAGGTTGACACAAAATTATAATAATAATAGTGCAACGCTATACCATAAAAACAAAATGTAATTATTAGTACCTAAATACGTAATAGTAGAAACATAAATAAATATATAAATATAATAAACATGCAAACAACAATACTATGGTGATGAGATCCAATGCGGATCTATTTGGTGCCAAACAACTCTATAGTGCCCAATAATGTGTTGTGAGGTCCTCTTCAAGGCCTCATAAAGTGCAAACAAACAAATCTACACAAATGACCAGGATAATTTCTATCCAGAAAAAATATATAATTCCAATAAACAACCCAAAAACCCCTACTAGTGTAAAAATATCTGTGATACCCCTAATATGGGGGAATAATCTCCTCACACAAAGTGACCAGTGTTTATACAAGCACTCAACATTAAATAATTAGTGACAGATAAACATAAAATAAAAAATCTCAAAATGTCCAAAGAATCTCAGATGAATCGTGCTCCAACATATACAAAATTAAATTCCATGCAAGATGATAGGGTGAACATGTATTCACACCAACTGTACGAATCCTCAGTGACTAAAATGCCCCCTCACCTCTTTTATGCAACTCACTGGGCCACCTTGCTTTCAGGATCACCCCAGGATCCTTCACAGGCAGTATCAGGTTACTGGATGGTATACAACAGTAATCAGGTGGCACTTACGCTTCTCCGATCCTCTCCTGATATAAGTATCCGCTAAATAGTATGCTCTCCCATCCGGACCCATGCAGCATTCCTCTGAATTCCCTTTCTTTTATTAACTAGCAGTATAGACCCCAGCACAGTCCATCAACATCACATCTCTACTATTGCTTATTTAGGTAGTAATAATTATATTTTATTTTTATGGTATAGAGCTGCACTATTATTAATATTTTGCACAAGTTTGGAAGGTTGTTGATAGAGTGTTGGCCGCTAAAGTATACACTGATCACTCCTAATAAGCGTGTTTTATTTACAAATGGGGTCAAAGCAGCATAGGGGAAAATGACCAACATCATAGGGAAAAAAAAATCAGGAACAGTTACAAACATCCAAAACAACACAGAGAAATCAAATAAATCCTAGCCACTTAGCTCATCTCTATCTAGCTACTAATTAATAAGAACCCATACATTTTATCAAAGGTCTCAGAGGAACTGGCTGATAAGCACTCCAACACTGAGGTATAAAAAAGTCCTAAACACCTTATGTGTAATAACAACATACCATAGTGCATAATAACTATTAATTGAGCAGTACAGATAATAACCTGATTAAATATATGTTCATAATAAACTAATAACGAAACACAGAATATGCCATATTACATGTATAAGCAGCTTAAAATTAAACCTGCTTTGAAGAAATACCCTATAAAGCCAATTATCCAATCAAGTGGGAAAAATGACCTGAAAGATCCAATAAAAAGTTAATTAGTGTGCTAAAGATTAAAACTTAATCTCTAAAGCATGACTTTTCTCTTCAAATGCCTGCTGCGTACTAACTATGCCGACAATTACTGTAAATCTTAATAGATACTCGGTGAGTTGTATTTCAGCATGCATTCCCAGGATAAAAGTACAAGAAGTGTATTAGGCATGGCTGGTACAAACGTGATTGCTACCCCCTCTTATTTCCCTGTGTTATTCTCACATAACATTGTGTCCAGAATACAGAAACATTTTCCTTCCTTCATATCCCTTTTTTGCTCTCTTATCTTCTTGAGCCTCACAGGGAGGCTGCACACAAAAGCAGCAAATGATGTAATATACTTGTCACACTTGTAATGAGTGCATAAAAAAAGAATAAAAATTAAAAAGAAAAGAAAAAAAAAGTGGGAAATATGTAAATATTTAATATTATGAAAATTTTAAAATTAGGTTTGGTGACACAGGGTCTCTTTAAAGTTTTTCTAAACTCTATTTTAAATTACATTAGTTTGCTAAAGCACTGTGTATCATATACAATCATCAATATTTTTCATCCTCCTAGTTGTTTCTGATCTCCTCCAGCCCCCTTTATCCTCTTCATGTCTACATGCATTTGCTCCATTGTCAGCTGCATCATTACTCTGAACAAGTTTCTTTATAGTATGTAGGCAGGCTTAACTGTGACTGAATCATCCAACACCCCACTAGAAGGCCTCCTGCTACATTACAGGGCTGACTAGGATCTCACTGACCATATATAGCCCAGAGCAGGGGCGGACTGACCATTTGGAAAATTGGGCACTGCCCGAGGGCCCGGGGTCAGTAGGGGGCCCCATGAGATGCCCCTGGTACCTTTTTCATAGGCTTTTTTGAGTTTGGGCAAGGACACAGGGCCCCATGATCCCCTATTGCCCGGGGGCCCCATGAGTTGTCAGTCCACCCCTGACCCAGAGCACATGCAAAACACAATTTCTGCCACATGTGCATGAATGGATTATTGTAGACCCTTCACTCACCATTCTCCTGGTCGACATAGCAATGACCCACCGATGGCTAGGGACACTTCCTGCATAAGGCCTTACATCTCCTCTATTCCTACAGGACAGCGCTTCGATAGTCCATGTAACACCTGAGGCCCATGTGACACACTGTCCAGGTCATCTGCCACGTGCCACATGGAGGGAGTCTCCTCCTTACCAGCAAGAGGGCAACCTTGTCCCCTATTCACCACCAACCCCACCCTGACCAGACCTGCACCACTATAATGGGATGGCAGGCAGTATAAACCTCTAGACATACCAAAAAATAAAAGGACACCAACTTGGATTAATAATGTCTGCGGCCTTGTTTACTGGTTTTCACAAATTTAACAAACCAGATACCATAACTTTTTCAATTAAGAAATATTTTTAAACACAGTAAACCACATCAGCCCAGTCATTAAGTCTCAAGCTGTCAATTTCATTTTCAATTTAAAATAATCTTTTACTAGTCCCCTTTCAGTCATGAAAGGGACTAACTACATAAATAATCCCTTTGGCAATAATCCTCCTAAATCCCTTTGGCAACTGGCATAGATTCCTCATAGCTCCTTTATGTATGGTTATTGGGAGCTTCTGGAATGTTCTGGGGGATCAGGTGACCTTAATTGGCCTATCCTGAGTGACCCTCCAGAACCTTCCCTAATCAGCTGACCCCTCCTGACCTGTCACATAACCTCCCATTGAATTTAATCAGTGAAGGGCTAGAAATTCCTCCACCACCATCCCATGAGGGAAATGTAGACCTAGTAACCGGTTACTCCCCTTTTCCCATGAGATGGCAGGCAGTCTAGTCCTCCAGACAAACCAAATAATAGTCATTAAGGCTCAAACTGTCAATTTAATTTTCAGTTTAAATAATCTTTTACCAATCCCCAATAGGCAGATGGGATAAATTTTCATTCCACCTGGCACCTTTATCTATTTCAATACAAGTCTGGAGGTTGATGTTGAAAATATCTAACCCTATATCTGATAAGAGTACCCCATCAGCCCAATATAAAACTGAGGTATCATCTTCCAAATCAAAATGTCGAAGTAAAATACCAATGTCTAGAGCCATGAATTTTTGAATAGCCCTATTGATTCTCTTGTTGACCTTATCAAAGGGTTTAAACATAGGTGATTCAAGCCATCTCAATCTTGGAATGATCTCAGAGAAGACCACTGCTAGGTCAAGATGTTTTTATGACTAATGGTATTCTGGATATTGCCAATCAAATCCAAAGTTCTGATTTGCCCTATGTTGTTCCCTCCTATATGTATTAATAGAACATCAGGAGAAGGCCAGTAATCATGTAATCTATTCAATTCAGAAAGCAATTCATTCCATAGCATACCCCTACATCCTTTCAAAAAATAGTTAAGTTTCGAAGGACTCAATCCTAAATTTTCAGTGTAAACTCTGGATGCTGCCCTTTTTTGAGCCTAAAATATATAGGAATGGCACAGGATCCAAACAACTCAAACTGTTCACCTAGAAATAGATCAAACAAATAGGTTAGAATGGACATAAGAGCAATTCTGCATTAAGAGAAGGTCTTATCTTTAAATATCGTTTTAGGCAAAACATAGGGCATATCAAATCTTCAGAACTGACATTCAACTGCAACCATGATCGGTTCCCAAAGTATCTGTTTTAATGTAAGGAAATAATAACTTCAATGTATTGTCTATAACTAACACACATCTTAACAGGGTTCCTGAACCTCAACATTTGGAATCAGGTAAAACCTCTGAAATACATAACGCAGCAAAAAATGTAAATTAGAATACTGAATTAAATAAAGAAGCTTCATATGCTAAAAAACAGACAGATAAAGTCATTTGACATAAGTGGTGTATTAATTCAGGTGTAATTGGCTATCTGTTATCCTTAGTAAAATGTACTTTCTTATAACCTTTCACAGATTGACGAACTGAGAAACATATCATACAACTTGGCAGATTGTTTAGTTTTAAGAAAAAATATACACCAGAAAGCAATTTATTTATATGTGACCAAGAATAATTTCTAATCATTAGAAAATTCGTGAACATCAACACCTGTGTTAACTGAGAGAGGGATACATTCTGAGATGATTAGACAGATAACCAAAATAGCCAAGCATTAGTATAATTATGCCACATAGAAGGAGCTACTGTGCTGGATATTCTAAAAGATTAAATCAAGTCCCACAGATGTGGAGGGAAAAGGGTTACTAATATATCCGCGTTAGGCATCAGGTGGAAAAAAACGCTTCATCTGGTGACGAGAAAGAGCATCCGCAATAATATTACATTTACTGGGAAGGCATGGAAAGGAAAGGTGTTGAAGACATGGAAAAACTAAATGTCTTATTAAAGAAATAACTTGTGGGGATTAAGACATTAGCAATTAACCACTTCCCGACCGCCCTATAGCAGATATACTGCTACAGGGCGGCACGGGTGCGAAGAATCAAGTGCGTCTTATGGTCAGGTAAGACGCACCTGACCATAAGACGCACCTAGGTTTTAGAGGCAGAAAACAGGAAAAAAAAAAAATTCTGAACTAATGGACTGCAGACACAGTACAGGAGATGACCAGAGACTGCGGACAGCACAGGGATGACCAGAGACTGCGGACAGCACAGGGATGACCAGAGACTGCAGACAGTACAGATGACTGCTGACCTTTGGGGAGGAGGGGAGCGGGTACCTGAATTTGACAGGTACCCGCTCTTACTTCCGCAGAGTTTTTGTTTGATCTTACCTGTTCCTCGATCCAGCCGCGCGCTGTCTTCCCGGCTTCTGTAATGGCGCTCGGCATGACAGCCGGGTGCCCAGTGCGCATGAGCGAGAAGCACTTGCGCTTTGTGATTGGTCCGGCGGCTTCTGGGATCTGTCATGTGTCCCAGGTACCGCCTTACCATTCACAAAAAGCACCGCTTCTTGCGCATGCGCACTTGGCACCCGGCTGTCATGCCCAGTGCCCACACTACAGAAGCCGGGAAGACAGCACGCCGCTGGATAGAGGAACAGGTAAAGTCCCGCTGAAGAGCTGAGCGGCCGGCCCGGTATTCTGACACGGCCGCGGTGGAAATACCGGACCGGCTGCTCCATATTCGCCCCATAAGATGCACTGACATTTCCCCCCCAGTTTTGGGGAAGAAAAAGTGCGTCTTATACGGCGAAAAAATATGGTATACATGATTTTGCGTTTCCGGGTGGCTGTCAATTACTCGCAAGCTCCGGGTGATTCATGAGCATCTCCAAAGGGGAGGAGAAGTGTATGTAAACAATACAGTTCTCCTCCGTCAGCTCATAGACCCTGCTTTGTATAGTTGTGCACAGCACAGTCATGCAAAGCAGTGTGATTACTGCTGAAGCACACGGACACAGCACAGAGTAAAACAGCACACAGCTGTTTGATCGCCCCACATTTAACCCCTTTCTGCCCAGTGCCATTAGTACAGTCAGTGCTTTTTTTAGCACTGATCAGTGTATTGGTGTCACTGGGGATGTCAGTGACACCAAGTCAGTTCCTCCAGTGTCAGAATGCCCGCCACAGTCCTGCAGTCCCACTGTCCTGCTATAATTCGCTGATTGCCACCATTACTAGTAAAAAAAAAAAAAATCCCAGTATATATTCCGCCATTTGTAAACGCTATAACTTTCATGTAAACCAATTAATTTACAGGTATTGGGATTTTTTTTTACCAAAGACATGTAGCAGAATACATTTTGGCCTAAATTTATGATGAAATTTGATGTTTTAATTTTTTTTACTGGACATGTTTAATAGCAAAAGGTCAAAAAATATTGTTTTTTCTCAAAATTGTTGGTCTCAACAATGGAAATCAAAGAAAGAAAAGCTCAATTTGTGTGAAAAAAAGAAGTAAATTTCATTTGGATGCAACATTGCATGACCACGCAATTGCCAGTTGAATAACGCAGTGCCGTAACGTAAAAAATGGCCTGGTCAGGAAGGGGGGTAAATCCTCAGGGGAGCAAGTGGTTAATGGCAAACATGACACCTTTATTATCCTTGCCAAATAAAATCGTCCTATTGGAGAACTGCAAACCCCATATTTCCAACACAATAATAATTGGAAATAACTCCAATAGCACAATATTTTTGCAGAGCCCTGTTGAAACCCATTTTGCAGGCCAAGATGAGAAACACGAATGAGTACCCCATATTGCTGCGAATCCAACTGAATCGGCAGCATCTGTATGTTAACAAAACTCTTCTTTGGAAATAAATTCAAACTGCCAAAGTGTCCTTCCGTTAAAATGTTCCAGAAATTGTATCCATACTATTATATCTTCTTTCATGCTTGAAGATATTCACACATGAGTGTTAGGATTTTTTAAACCTGAATTTGCTATATAAAAGCGCCTAGAGAACATTCGTCCCATTAGCAAAACTCTTGTTGCAAAAGCTAATAACCCCAATAATGACTCAATTTCTTTTAAAGTGACTTTCTTTTTGTTAAAAATGGTAATAATTAATGGTATAATTTGTATAGCTTTTCTTTAGGTAATCAAAACTCCATCTTGACTGAATCTATGGTAATACCCAGAAAGTTAATACATGTGTTGGGGTGAACTGTTTTTTCATGTGCCAATGGTATACCAAAATCTGCACAAATGGTTTGGAAAGTTTGTAATAATTAATAACAACTAGAAGCACTAGCATATATAAAAAATAATCTAAATAATGAATTAAAAAAAGGGTAATTTGCTACTTGAGAAACAACCCATTCAAGAAATGAGGAAAAAGATTCTAAATAAAAGCAGGATAGGAAACAACCCATGGGAAAGCATTTGTCAAAATAATATTTATTATCAAAATAAATCCCAAATGATTTAAATCCCGAAGGGTGTACAGCAAGTAATCTAAATGCTGATTTAATATCCATCTTTGCCAGCAATGCTTTAGGGCCCAAACTTGGGTCTGTTTGATCATGTAACTCCTTGGAGCCAGCATTACGCAAATTTTCGGCCTCTTGGCAGCTGGGCCTTGATGCTGAGGGGCTGCATATTTGTGTACCCGATGTAAACAAACATGTGCAGTGAGCTCATACCCTGCAAGCTCCAGGCACTGTTACTGGCGCCTTAGGGAAAGCTCCCGTTCGCTACTTGCCTTCGGGAGCTTTCCGATCATTTGATCACTGTGACAGTCACTCTCAGCGTTCACATTACCCTAAACCTCGACACGCCTCTCAGCGTCAGAAACCCCTTAAAGAGCAGGGAGGCACTGGTGCCAAGGGGTATACGAAAGTTAGTGAAAGGAGGATGGTCGAAAGGAACTTCCATTCTCCCCACCAACATTTCTTTGTTTAATTTATCTTTTACTATATGATGGAACATTTTAACAGATTTTAAATTATTTACCACTTGACAACCTAAACCTGTGAAATCCGGTAATAAAAAACCTTTTGAGAAACCATTAATTAACAACCATGCTGTCTGAGGTTCTGGATAGACCAGCAGCCATGGAAGCATGCTTTCCAGACTCACCAGGGTTAATGCCTTTTGGAACGTTATCATTACCTGAGGACTGTGAAGCTGCCTGAAGTTTCTGAAAACATTTGGCAATTGAGTGTGACCCAGAACAGAATGCACACATATGTCTATATTTGTAAGCACTATGCCAGCGACACTGTCCATCATTAACCACTTGCCTACCAGGCACTTATACCCCCTTCCTTACCAGGCCAATTTTCACCTTTCAGCGCTGCCGCACTTTGATTGACAATTGCGCGGTCATGCAACATTGTACCCATATGAAATTTTGATCATTTTTTTTCACACAAATAGAGCTTTCTTTTGGTGGTATTTAATCGCCACTGGGCGCTTTACTTTTTGCGCTATAAATTTAAAAAAGTGCAAAAAATTTGAAAAAAAAAAGTTTATTTGTTTCTTTTATAAAATTTTTCAAACAGGTATTTTTTCTCCTTCACTGATTTGCGTTGATGAGGCGGCACTGATGGGCACTGATAGGCGGCACTGATGGGCACTGATAGGCAGCACTAAAGGGCACTGATAGGCAGTACTAATGAGGTGGCACGGATAGGCGGCACTGATAGACAGCACTAATTAGGGGTCACGGATAGGCGGCACTGATATGCAGCACTGATAGGCGGCACTGATAGGTGACACTGATGATGGGTACTGATAGACGGCACTGACTGGCATCACTTCTGGGCACTGACTGGCGGCACTGGCTGGCACAACCCCTGGGCACTGACTGGTGGCACTGACTGGCAGCACTGCTGGGCTGCACTGGTGGGTGGCACTGGTGGGCAGCACTGGTGGGTGGGCACAGGTGGGTGGCACTGGTGGGCACAGGTGGGTGGCACTGGTGGGCACAGGTGGGTGGGCACAGGTGGGTGGCACTGCTGGGCACATGTAGGTGGCACTTCTGGGCACAGGTAGGTGGCACTGCAGAGTGGCACAGGTGGGTGCACTGCTGGGCACAGGTGGGGGCACTGCTGGGCACAGGTGGGGGCACTGCTGGGAATGGGTGGGCGGGGCTAGTGGGCGCACTGCTGGGCAGAACTTGCGGGTGTCACTGCTGGGCACCGATCATCAGGGCACTGATCATCAGTGCCCTGATGATCGGTGCCGATCCCCGCTCTGACAACTGCCGGTTCTCGGCAGTACTTTCCTCACGATCTGACAGCGTGAGGAAAGTGCAGCCGAGAACCGGCACTTGCATTTCCCTGTGATCAGCGTGTCATTGGACACCGCTGATCACGTGGTAAAAGGCCGGTGGGATCGGCCTTTCACCACATCACGTGATCAGCTGTGTCCGTAGGACACAGCGATCACGGAGATCGCCGGGTGCGCGCCCCCTGGGGCGCGCAGGAGAGTGCGTTCTGGGAGGACGTCATATGACGTCCACTCAGAACTAGCGGTGAAGCCGTCATTCGGCTATGCGCGGTCGGCAAGAGGTTAATCACAAAACATACTCCTTTTTTGTAAGTAGCCCCTGTATTAGAATTACCATTAGTGCTTGGTTGTCTTAAAATGAAGGTCTTTTGTGGCAAAAACAAATTTAACCATAGCCCAACATCTTTTGAGCCCTACTGTAAAGTTGGCTGAACTTCCAATTTTTACCTGAAAGCCTCATCCACCAAAATCTTTATATGCCTCTAGAATTATGTCCATATGTTGGAATAATGCTGAATTTTTTTGTGAAAATTTCTTGCATAAAATTATACCATATATACAAAAAGCTTGAATCCAATTAACAATTGATTTAGAAACAGGCCTGCTCCTTTCTTCCTCTGATTTATCCTCTTTTTTTGATAGGCCTAAGTAAAAATTATTTGGTGCATGGTAATAAGGACAATAGATCAACATACTCTCCCCACCAAATGTTCTCCTTTATCATTGCTGACAGATGATAAACCTGGGGAGACAGAATGCAAGGCATAAATTCTTTACAGCATTGATCAGAATCAATGTGTTTTTCTAGGTTAGGCTGAATAGGTTTTGAGCCAGTATTTGTCACCGGTGGACAAGAAGGGAGAAAACCCTCAGTGCCTTCTGTATTAGAAATGGCTACAGAACAAACATATCTCGCTATGTAGTCTGACTCACCAGTCAAAGATGCAGCTTAAGACATAGATACATAGCTACATAGTTAGTCTGGCTGAAAAAAGACAAAAGTCCATCCAGTTCAGCCATTAGAAAAGAAAAAAAAAAGTTATAATCCTATACCCACAGTTGATCCAGAGGAAGGCAAAAAAAACCAGCAAAGCATGATCCAATTTGTTCCTGCAGGGGAAAAAATTCCTTCCTGATCCCCCGAGAGGCAATCAGATATTCCCTGGATCAACCTTACTTATAAATGTTAGTATCCAGTTATATTCTGTGTATCCAAGAAAGAATCCAGGCCTTTTTAAAGCAATTCACTGAGTTGGCCAAAACCAACTCTTGAGGGAGTCTATTCCACATTTTCACAGCTCTTACTGTGAAGAAACCTTTCCGGGTTTGGATATTAAGTTTAATTCCTCCAGACGTAAAGAGTGCCCTCTTGTCCTCTGTGATGACCTCAGGGTGAATAGCTCTACACCGAGTTCACTATATGAACCACTGATGTATTTATACATGTTGATCATATCCCCCTAATCTCTTCTTCTCAAGAGAGAATAAATTAATTTCCTCTAATCTTTCCTCATAGCTGAGCTCCTCCATACCTCGTATCAGTTTGGTTGCCCTTTGTAGCTCTCCAGTTCCCCAATGTTCTTTTTGTGAATTGGTGCCCAAAACTGAACTGCATATTCCAGATGAGGTTTTACTAATGATTTGTACAGGGGTAAAATTATATCTTTCTCTCTCTGGAGTCTATACCTCTTTTAATACAAGAGAGGATTTTGCTCACTTTAGAAACCGCAGTTTGGCATTGCATGCCATTATTAAGCTTGTGATCTACCAGAACCCCTAGATCCCTCTCCACCATTGATTCCCCCAGTTGTACTCCCCCTAGTATGCATATTCTTAGCCCCCAAGTGCATAACCTTACATTTATTAACTTTAAACCTCATTTGCCACATAGTTGCCCAATTAAACAGTGCATTGAGGTTGGCTTGTAACTTGGAGACATCCTGTAAAGACATTATTCCACTGCACAGCTTGGTGTCATCTGCAAAAGACTGAAATGGGATTTTTAATCCCAGACCCTATATAGTTTATAAATATATTAAAAAGTAAGGGTCCCAACATTGAACCTTGGGGTACACCACTAACAACCCAGACCATTCAGAGTATGAATCATTAACCACTACTCTCTGAATACGATCTTTTAGCCAGTTTTCTATAAATTTATATACAGAATTTTCCAAGCCTGTAGACTTTACTTTACACATTAGCCGTATGTGGGGAACTGTGTCAAAGGGTTATGCAAAATCCAAGTATACCACATCCACCGCCACCCCTCTGTCCAAGGTTTTGCTCACCTCCTCATAAAAAAAAATCAGATTTGTTTGACAACTTTTGTCTTTCATGAATCCATGCTGTCTGTTGCTTAAAATATTTTTTTCCAGCAAGAACTCATCTATGTGATCTTTTATTAAACTCTCCAGTATCTTTCCAACTATAGAAGTTAAACTAACAGGTCTGTAATTACTTGGTAAAGATTTTTACCCCTTTTTAAATATTGGCACCACATTGGCCTTACGCCAATCCAGTGGTACTATGCCAGTCATTAAAGAGTCCCTAACAATGTGAAACAATGCCTTTGAAATGACAGAACTCAATTCTTTAAGGACCCGTGGGTGTATGCCATCCGGTCCAGGTGCTTTATTCACCTTTATTTTTCTAAATATTTTTGGATCATATCAATTGTGACCCAATGTGGATCATCTGGAGCTGTGTCAATATCATGCCCATTATGGACAAGAGCTCCCCCATACTCCTTTTTATACACAGAGCTGAAGAAGGTATTTAATAAATTTGCCTTCTCTTTGTCCCCAGTCACCCACTCTAGATTATTTTGTAAAGGGCCTACATGCTCGGACCAGATCTTTTTACTATGAATATATTTGATGAATTTTTTGGGGTTTGTCCTGCTATCTTTTGCAATCTGTCGTTCGTTTTCAATTTTTGCAGCCTTTATTTCTTTTTTGCATATTCTGTTATGGGGGAGTATTCTTTGTAATGTTTAAACGATGATAGCATTCCTTCATTTTTATATTTAATAAAAGCTCTTTTCTTATTATCTATAGTTTTTTTTAACTTTGGCCATAAGGCACATAGGTTTGATTTTTAGCCTTTTAACCACTTGCCTACCAGGCACTTATACCCTCTTATTTACCAGGCCAATTTTCAGCTTTCAGCGCTGCCGCACTTTGATTGACAATTGCGCGGTCATGCAACATTGTACCCATATGAAATTTTTATCATTTTTTTCTCACAAATAGAGCTTTCTTTTGGTGGTATTTAATCACCACTGGGCGCTTTACTTTTTGCGCTATAAATTAAAAAATTGCAAAAAATTTGAAAAAAAAAAAAGTTTCTTTGTTTCTATTATAAAATTTTTCAAACAGGTAATTTTTCTCCTTCACTGATGTGTGTTGATGAGGCGGCACTGATGGGCACTGATAGGCAGCACTAAAGGGCACTGATAGGCAGTACTAATGAGGTGGCACGGATAGGCGGCACTGATAGGCAGCACTAATGAGGTGTCACGGATTGGCGGCACTAATATGCAGCACTGATAGGCGGCACTGATAGGTGACACTGATGATGGGTACTGATAGACGGCACTGACTGGCATCACTGCTGGGCACTGACTGGCACAACCGCTGGGCACTGACCGGTGGCACTGACTGGCAGCACTGCTGGGCTGCACTGGTGGGTGGCACTGGTGGGCAGCACTGGTGGGTGGGCACAGGTGGGTGGCACTGGTGGGCACAGGTGGGTGGCACTGGTGGGCACATGTGGGTGGGCACAGGTGGGTGGCACAGGTGGGCACAGGTAGGTGGCACTTCTGGGCACAGGTGTGTGACACTGCAGAGTGGCACAGGTGGGTGCACTGCTGGGCACAGGTGGGTGCACTGCTGGGCACAGGTGGGTGATCTGCTGGGCACAGGTGGGCGGAGCTAGTGGGCGCACTGGTCGGCACAGGTGGGCGGAACTTGTGGGTGGCACTGCTGGGCACCGATCATCAGGGCACCGATCATCAGTGCCCTGATGATCGGTGCCGATCCTCGCTCTGACAACTGCCGATTCTCGGCAGTACTTTCCTCACGATCTGACAGCGTGAGGAAAGTGCAGCCGAGAACCGGCACTTGCATTTCCCTGTGATCAGCGTGTCATTGGACACCGCTGATCACGTGGTAAAAGGCCGGTATGATTGGCCTTTTACCACATCTCGTGATCAGCTGTGTCCGTAGGACACAGCGATCATGGAGATCGCCGGGTGCGCGCCCCCTGGGGCACGCAGGAGAGCGCGTTCTGGGGGGACGTCATATGACGTCCACCCAGAACTGGCTGACCGCAGTGCAGCCGTCATTCGGCTATCTGCGGTTGGCAACTAGTTAAACTTGTCCATGGGAATATATTTCGCAGTGTGTTCACATACAGTCTTTTTGAAGAACTCCCATTTCTGTGTTGTGTTCATTGATGCTAATATTCCCTCCCAGTCTAAGTCTTGGAGAGCAGCTCTCAGCCTTGGAAAATTAGCTCTCTTAAAACTGAGCGTTTTTATTTTTCCAGTATGTGCTTGCTGTTTATAGATAACAATAAATAACATCTTGGTAGCAGTGAAAATAACATGATTTCCTTTTATATGGACATTCGTAATAAGCTCTGCATGGTTTGAGATTACAAGGTCCAGCAGAGCATCATTCCTAGTTGAACTGTACCATAAATTTGTCCTGTAATAGGTTTAAACATTTTTGCCCTTTAACTGTTCCTGCAGTAGCATTACTCCAGTCAATTTCCAGGTAGTTAAAATCCCCCATTATTATCACTGTCCCAGCCTTTGCAGCCCTTTTGATCTGTGCAAGGAGCTGAGTCTCCACCTACTCATTAACACTGGGAGGCTTATATCAAACTCCAGTGATTACCTTTGTAGTACCACCCCCATGTGCAGTTCTACCCATAATGCTTCAGCCTCATCACACTCTCCATCAACTAGGTCCTCTTTCACACTTGTTATGAGATCACTTCTCACATAGAGACAGATACCACCACTTAGATTGTAAGCTCCAAGGAGCAGGGCTCTTATAAGCCTCTTGTATTGAACAGTATTGTTGCTGTATTGTCTTCCGTTATATTGTGAAGCACTGAGCAAAGCTTTGGCGCTATATAAATCCTGTATAATAATAATAATATCACCACCTTTGTCCTGTCTTTCTGAAAGAGAACATAACCAGGAATATTAATGGCCCAGTCATGTGAAGAATGAAGGCAAGATTCAGCAATACCAATTAAATCATAGTTCTGTTCATGCACCAAAGCTTCCAACTCACCTATTTTGCTTGGCAGACTTCTGGCATTGGTGAACAAACACTTCAATACATTGACACCTTGTTCACACGTATTTTGCGTATTTTTTTATTTTCATACAAATGGTACCAATTCCACTGACTGTTTGTAACATGGGAACCTTCTTATCATCTGCCATAGCCTTCCTCCATCTTTCTCCATTCCACCCACCAATGAGGACTAACCCCTGTCTGATCTGTCTGCCCCATTATAATCTAATTCACCCTCACCACTCTATCCTAGTTTAAATACTTCTCCAGCCTGCCCATAAACCTCTCCCCCAGCACAGCAGACCCCCTTTCATTTAGGTGCAAACCATCTCTAGCATATAGGTTGCACCCCAATGAAAATTCAGCCCAGTGCTCTAGAATCCAAATCCTTCCCTCTTACACCAGGTCTTTAGCCATGCATTGAGTTCTCTAATCTCCCCTTGTCTTTCCTGAGTTGCACATGGCACGGCTAATATTTCAGAGAATATCACCTTGGAGATCCTTCCCTTCAACTTGCAGCCTAGTTCTTTAAATTGGTTCTTAAGGAGCCTCCACCTTCCATGTATTCTGTCAGTGGTTCCAACATGGACCAAGACAGCTGGGTCATGCCCAGCCCCTCCCAGTAATTTATCAACCCAGTCCACCACATGCCGAACCCTGGCACCAGGGGAACAGCAAACCATTCGGTTGAGGCGATCCTGGAGACAAATTATTCCATGAGTCCTTCTGATTATAGAATCCGCTACTACCAACAGCTGTCTAGGCCTTCCTGCACTACCCTCACCACCCCTCCAAGATAGTCTGCCCTCCCAGCTGTTAGGGATAGCAGTGACATCTAGGGCTGCCACCCCTGAGCTTGCCACCCCTGAGAGAGTGAAGGCTGTGTAGGGGAGCATCTGACTAGGATTGCATTGCCTGGAGACACTGTAAATCTCTACTGATTCTCTTCAGCCATTCCTGGCCATTTTAGGATTTATTAATATTTGGTTGTTTTTTTTATTTTGCACATTTTGGCACTTTATAATTTTTAGGGAGGCGCAACATCACACTTATCGGGACATTAATCCATACTGTGGGAACACTTTTGTTGTTTCCAGTCACCCGAGCAAATTATTGGTTGACTTGTTCATTAGTATTTATATGTAAGATATCACACATAGGAGTCACGGGATAATCATAGACTCTTTATACTTGTGGGTATAACTGAAGCTGTTGCCCTGTTTCTGGCATTGCATGCTGTCTTGGCAATGATCCTCCAATCAGGTCTTGAAGATTCAGGCTCCACCCCCTGCCACTTCCCATCTCACCCTCAGCATTTGACTGTGTCAGGGATTGCGGTGGCACACGGGTCTGCGCATGCGCAGAACGCCGATGCGCATTAGCTGGCGGGCACTAGGGCATAGGCAACCGCGGCAACAGTGGGGCCGCGCATGCGCACTCGCGATCACGGACGCGCACCTGGCACCAATGATAGTACAGGGCGCACTATTTAAACCAGCCCTGTGCATCCCCAAATTGCCATATGGTCTTGTTCCTGTGTTCCTGATCATTTCTGTACTGTGATTGCCTTGTTATTGACCCAGCCTGTCCCTGATCCTGTTGACCGTCTCCTGCTCTGACCTTTGGCTCGTTTTGACTATTCTCTGCCTGATCCTGATTGCCTGACCTCCTGTTGCTGAACCTGGCCTGTGACCCGTTTATCCTTTTGCCTGCCGCTCTGTACCGTCTGCCTCCGCTGTTACCGACCTGGCCTGTCTGACTACACTACGTACCACCTCTTCACATCTGGCTCTCACCTGCCACTTGCCACTGGCAACTACCTCTACCACAGCTGGTTGTACTCGGGGGCCGCGACCTGGTCTCAGGCTTGCCACCATCAGGGGCTCTGGTGAAACAGCAGACTGAGGCTTAGACTCCGCACCCTGAGGAATTCCGGCCTGTGGGTCGCTAGAGGCTACTGCCAGCAGGCTCCTGACAGACTGTCATTGTCGCCTACTAGAGGCCAGTCTTGCTCTCCTGGCCAATGCTGCTCAAGGTGGGAAGGGGCTTAAGCTTGTGAGTGCCTCCACTTCTGGGCTGGGTGAATCGTGTTCCCTCTGCTTCCTCTGATGCCATCCTGCTCTCCAACCTCCAGAACTTCCTCTGCCTCAACATCCTCTTCCGTCTGCTGATGTTCATCGTCACCGCCGACCCTTCTGTCAGCACTGCTGCCACTAAGGTCCACCTGTCCTGAGGCTGCTTGATCTGATGCCAAGGAGAAACACCTCCAGAGCCAGTCTTCTCCACCCGCTGATCTTGCTTTTTCCAGCAGCTGTCTCATGAGGGACTTTGTGTTGCTAGAGGTAAGGAGAGTATTCTAGCTCTTCTGCACTCCTAAATCCCTCTGCTGACTGGCATAGATCCCTCACAGCCTCTCCTCTATATATGGTTATTGGGAGCTTCTGGAATGTTCTGGGGGGGTCAGGTGATCTTCACTGTCCTATCCTGAGAGACCCTCAGAACCTTCCTTAATCAGTTGACCCCAACTGACCCATCACATAAATCCCATTGAATTCAATCAATGAGGAGCTAGAAACTCCTCCACCACTATTCCATGAAGGAAAAAGAGGCCTAGAAACCAGCTACTCCCCCTTCCCCTTACATTCTCTTCAGGATCCTGAATCTCACCATGTGTCTCCTACATTAGAGGCACCTGTGCGGCACTGCAGCCCAACTGTGCGCTATCCCAACCCTCGCCTCAACAGACAACAGGGATCCACTTGAAACACCAAACTTTAGCCAGCGCCTTGGTCCAGCTCCATCTCATTAAGAACTTGAGGTACTGAGTAAGTACAGTGTTTGGCAATTAATAATCTCCTTCACAGCAACATGACAGGTCCTCAGTATACCTTTGTATCACCCAGTATAAAGGGTGCTCATCCTGAGGTAAGAAGAAGTTGCTTTAGTCTCTCAGTACATATCAATGACCAGGCAGCTCCATTCCCATCAGCCTACTGACCCAGCTAAGCTCCACCCTAGGATCCTGCCAAAAAGGAAATTAAGTCAGCTCACTTCCTAGGAGGATTAGGGGAGAGTTCTACCTTACAGGGACAGTGAATTAACCCTTGCCTACAAGTGCGCCAAGCCTAAGCAATGTTTGAAGGCATGATTGCATATAGTCTCAAACAGCAGCACATGAGACAGGATGATATTGCAGAAGCACAATTGGTAGACAGTTGTCACCCCATAACAGAAAGTATCCAAACAAAGACCTTCATGGCAGGATCACTAGGTATTATTTTAAAGAAAACTCCAGATTTAAAAGGGTTGAAAACAGCTTTTGAAATTACATTAAAGCAGCATTAAAGTCTAACTAAAGGCAATTTTTTAGGTTTATACAGAGTGGAAAGGGATTAGAACACCTATCAGTTTTCATTTTCACCCTCTATATTTGTCCTGTTTATGGTTATCATCAAAAACAAAACTAAAAGAAAACCCCAAACTTTGGAACACTAATAGGGGGGTCTAATGGGGTCACTAGTTCTGGTGATCCTGATGACACACTGAGATTCCCTCACTTTGGAGCCACTGCTGTGGCTATGGGACAGGTAGTGAAGGGAAATCTCCCCGATGTGATTCAGATAAGAAAAAAAAAACTTAACGGGGGTTATAACCTCCCTCACTCTATCAAAAATAAAAAATTTTGCCTTTGGTTACACTTTAAACTGTAAGATTAAACTTTTTCCTATAAGTAAGCTTATAATAAGTCATACCTGTAAGTACCATTAAACCACTGAATATCTCCTAAACTTGTTTCATTTAGGAGATATTCAC